AGTAGTAGTAGTAGTAGTAGTAGTAGTAGTAGTAGTAGTAGTAGTAGTAGTAGTAGTAGTAGTAGTAGTAGTAGTAGTAGTAGTAGTGTAGTAGTAGTAGTAGTAGTAGTAGTAGTAGTAGTAGTAGTAGTAGTAGTAGTAGTAGTCGTAGTAGTAGTAGTAGTAATAGTAGTAGTAGTAGCAGTAGAAGTAGTGGTGGGAGCAGCGGTAGTAGTAGTAGTAGTAGTAGTAGTAGTAGTAGTAGTAGTAGCAGTAGTAGTAGTAGTAGTAGTAGTAGTAGTAGTAGTAGTAGTAGTAGTAGTAGTAACAGTAGCAGTGGTAGTGGTAGTGGTAGCAACGGTGGTGGTAGTAGTAGCAATAGCAGCGGTAGTGGCAGGGGGGTGGCCCCTGCAGTGGCAAAAAGTAGTGGCAGTAGAGGCGGAAGTTGTAGTGATAGCAGCAGCCTTGGCAATGGATGGTGGCAGTAGTGGTCGAAGTGGCGGTGGCGGCGGCGGTGGTAGTGCTTGCGGTGGCGGCGGTGGTGGCAGTGGCATGGTAGTAGCAGCGGTGGACTGGTGGTGGTGGCGTTGGCGGTGCTGGCGGCGGCGGCAGTGGTGCGCCAGCTGCGCGAGCTGGGGCCCGGGCAGCGGGTGGCATTCGTGGAAGTAGTGGTGGTCGCAGCGGCGGCGGCGGCGGCGGCGGCCGTGGGCCTGCGAGTCCTGGCGCAGCCCCAGGCAGGGGGCGCCTGCAGCCGCGCTGCCCCCAGCCATCCCGGGCTAGCGCGCGCGTGCGCGCATTCTGTGGAGGCAGGGGTCGCCTCCACAGTGGCCAGGGCCACCACATGCAGATAGTCGCCGAAACGATGCGTTACTCTTTCGACCCTGTGGCCTAACCGATAAGGGGATAAACCAGAATCTGCACTTCATAAGCTCAAATCCCAAATGCACTCCTTCCAGGCCTCAAATAGGAAAACACACACGCGGGCAATTTTTCCTGCCCGTTGAGCTAATATCCTCGAAAACTGCGGGCATTTTTTTCTGCCCGCACTTCGATTGCCCTGAGGTGGCAGAGGGGGCGCGGGCATTTTTTTCCGGCCCGCACAGCTAATCTCGTTGAAAATATTGCTGGTATTTTTTTTTCGCGCCCGCACTTCGACTGCCCTGAGAGGCATGCTTGTTGCACCCCAACTTGCCAACCGGGGGGGGGGGATTGGGGCGTCTGGGGCCCGCGCCCCTGCAGCCTCCAGAGAGCCAGGGCCTGGGCGTCTTTGAGGCTTTCCAGGAGGCCCTGGGGTGATGGCGCCAGGGCCCTTGGGGCCTCATGGCCGTTGAGGCATACGATGGGCCCAGCGCGCATCTGTGTCTGCCAGTGTGGCCCACTCTGCGCCAAACACCTCCTTTCCGAGGGACCTATTAGGAGACCCTCAGGAAGCCCCCAGGACGCACAGATTGGGGCTGCTGGGCCCCGAGAAGACAATCCCTCAGGCACGGTGTGGATTTGCCTAAAACCCAGAACTTGCCAATCAGAAAAACTTGCGCTGAGCCTAAACCGCTTCATTTGCACAGAGTACTTACTACAGTGATTGCCGCTTCACCAATGCCTGACGAGAACGAAAGCCACAGCAGTAAAAATCCAGTGCAGGGAAGGGAGCTGTTGCATGGTATTCTCGGCGCCGTCCTTTCAGCAATGAAGCGAGATATATTGTAGGCCTCCTGGGGTTCTCTCCAATGGGGCTCCTGGGGATCTCCCGGGGGCCTGGGCTTTTTCGGGGTCTCCTGGCACCCTTCTACGTGCCCCCTCGCGGCATTATGCGGGACCTCTCCTGAGGCAGTGCCAGGGGGGCCCTTGGGCGGGGAGGGGTGCTTGGCGCAGAGCCGGCCAAACTGTGGCGGACGCTATGCTCGACAGACGGACAAGACACAGCAGGCGCAGGCACCTCCTCCCCTCCCCCCGCCTGCCTGAGGCAATGTAGTGAAATGGGACAACGCAGTAGAATGAATGGGGCAGGCGGAGAGCGCCCCCCCCTTCCCTGGCAAAATACTGGCAATGTTGTGAAATGGGGCAATTTATCTCCCACAATCTGACCTTCTTGGGTTCAATTCCTAGTGGTGCCTTTGGGGCCTGCTTGGGGGTGCAGGACGGTTTCCAGCGAGGTGCGGATTGCTCGTGCACCTCCCGCCCCCCTGGAGACAACTGGAGCTTCGTGGGGGCTGGGCTGGCCCTCGTGGGGCGGGGCCTGCGGGGGCTGGGCGCGGCAGCTGCGGGGCCTCGCACCTGGAAGCGGAAGCGGAGGCAACGCAAACAAAAGACAAACAAAACATCGAACAGCCGGGCTTGTAAGACCACGCCCGGCTTTTCTTTTCGCGTGCGGGCCGTCGGCCCTGTGTCGGAAAGGTGTCGAGCAGGCGGAGGGGGGGTCTCCAACGTGCGTCTCGTCGTGCGTGCGTTTTTCTTTTGTTTGTCGTTTCCCTGCTCCTGGCGACAACGGGGCCCGCCATGGGGGTATCCAACGCACTCGCGTCCGATTCTGTACACGTAGAAGTATGTGCCCGGAGGGGGGCGTCGGATTTCCAGCATGGTGTAGGGGGAGCGTTTCGCCTGATGCATCCGGACAAACTGGGGATATTGGAGGAGTTGCTTTGCGACGTTGATTTTCAAACATGGACCTTCGCCTGAGAGCTTCTCTCTAAACTGACATGTTGGATATCAGACGACGGATCTCCAACATGGTGTGTGGGAGGGGGCGGTTCGCATGCGACATCCTCGCAACATGGGGATGTTGGAAAAGTTGGTGTATGACCTTGGTCTTAAAAAGTGAAGCTTTTGCCTGAGAAATCCTCAGGGCATTGAAATGTTGGAGATCGGGCGTCGGACATCCAACATGGTGTGGGGGGAGCGTTTCGCCTGATGCACGCTCACAAAATGGGGATGTTGGAGGAGTTGTTTTACGACGTTGGTTCTCACACAGTAGGGTTTCACCTGGGACACCATCAGGAAATTGAGATTTTGGAGATCGGGCGTCGGATATCCATTGTGGTCTGGGGGAGCGACTTCGCCCGAAACATCCTCACAACATGGGGATGCCAGAGGAGTTATGTTACGACGCTTCTGTTGAAACCTGGAGGTTTCGCTTGAGACATCCCCTTAGGAATGAGACGTTGGAGTTCAGATGTCGGATATCCAATATGGTGGGGAGGAGCGTTTCGCCTGGGGATGTTGGAAGAATTGTGTTACGACGTTAGTTCTCGAACATGAAGCTTTCGCCAGAGACATCCTCAGAAAATCCCACCTGCCCTTTGGGCGAAGGTGGTCTAACGATGTCTTCATGTTCTCGTCCAAAACACCCTCTTCCCTTCAGGGAGGGGTACCCTCCCCCTCCCTGAAGTTTTTTGGGGCGGGTCGCGAACGGTCAGTGCTCCCAAGAAGGCCCAAGATGGCTCCAAGAGGGCCTCCGATGCTCCACGATGGCCTCCAAGGCGGCTCAAGATAGCCAGATATGGTTTACGACAGCTTCCGACATCCAAGTGCTCTCGGAGCCCTCTCAGGACCCCCGGCCAACATCCTTCAAACCTCTTGAGCAAATCAATGCTGTTACCTGCTCGCCTTTTCGCTTCCGATGCGCTTTTGGGGGCCTCAATATTGCCCCGAGATGGCCCAAGGGAGCTCCACGATTGGCCCAAGAGGCCTCCAAGACCGCCCCGAGAGCGCCCAAAATCGCCCCAAGAGGGCCCGAGAGGGGCGGCCAAACATTAGGATCCATCTTGTCAACGACGCCCTCCACTGTAGTCCCAAAGGCCCTCTACAGCTCCCAAGAAGCCCCCCAAAAGAGCCCCAAGAGGACCCCCAAAACCACCCGCACGAGCCCCACGATGACCCCAAGATCCCCCCAAAGAGCTCCAAGAGAGCTCCAAGGGGCGATTTTGAGGGCTCTTCTTGTCCTAGTCCTCCTCCTTGTCCTCGTCCTTGCCCTCATAGTGCTCCTTTGTCTTTGTCCTTCTCTTCCTCGTCATCGTCGTTGTCGTCGTCGTCGTCGCCGTCGTCGTCGTCGTCGCCGTCGTCGCCGTCGTCGTCGTTGTCCTCCTCCTCCTCCTCCTCCTCCTCCTCCTCCTTCCCTCGCCCCCCACGCGCGTCCCAGGGATGGCCCGGAGTGGCCCTCCACGGCCACCCCCTTGCTCCAGAGAGTTCACCCTGGTTGCCCAATGTGTTTCAATATGTGTGCCTCTTCGTCCCTATTCCCGTTGGCTCTCATGGGCAAGGTTTCTGAATGGGCGGTTTGGGATACGCAAAACATGAAGAATTGAGATATTGAGCTCGCGCGTTGGATATCGAACTAGGTCTGGCGGGGTGGGGTTCGCATGCAAACTTCCTTAGAAACACGGGAGATGTTTAGTGAGCTCCCGAATTCGACGTACCTGAAGAGCTTGGCTCTTGTCTGAGGCATCCTCACACATGGAGGAATTACCACATAATCCTGACAACATATTATCTGGCTTAATTTCCTTACCGGGTTCGTCGGTCCCTCGAGTTCCATGGAGAAGAAGAAGAAGGCGAGGACAGGGATGACCACAACGCTCCACAGGTGCGCGTGTGCACGGCGTGCCACAAGGCGGCTCGAAGGGTACCAGGCTGTTCCAGGGACGCCTCACTCTGGCACGAACGTGGCAGCCGCAAGAGGAGGAGGACGAGGAGGAGGAGGAGGAGGAGGAGGAGGAGGAGGAGGATGGGGAGGAAGAGGAGAAGGATCAGGAAGGCTAACAACATGATGGTTGACACGACTTCGTCGTCGAGGCGTATCGCGCCAGGAATGCCCTTGGCGAGCGGCAGGGCATTCCCGCCTTGCTCCACAACGCAACTTTTGGAGGAGGAGGAGGAGGAAGAGCAGGAGGAGGAGGAGGAGGAAGAGGAGGAGGAGGAGGAGGAGGTGGCTGGGGGCACCAAGAGGCCCAGAACGGGCGAACACGTCCCAACAGCCGAGGTCCTCGATCCTCCGGCCTGGATCCTCGACCCTCCCGGGTGCTGTCCCGCAGGTAGTCCCCGTACGCCGCCAAGATGCCCCGCCGCGTCGGCGGGGCGGGCGCCTCGCCCGGCGTACCGCGGTCTCGCCCGCCCAGCAGCGACGGTCCTCCCGCTCGTCTCGAGAACTCCCTGCCGCCTCCGCAGTCGTCGTCGTCCTTCCCCTCCTCCTCCTCCTCTTCATCCTCCTCCTCCTCCTCCTCCTCCTCCTCCTCCCTTAACCGCTGCGCAGACAGACGCATCGCCGTCGTCCTTCTCCTCCTTCTCCTCTGAGGAGAGAAAACTGAGGAGAGAGGGAAGAAGAGGGAGGAGGAGGAGGAGGAGGAGGAGGAGGAGGAGGAGGAGGTGGAGGAGGAGGAGGAGGCGGAGGAGGAGAGGGAGGAGGAGGAGGACCAGCGTAAACCCAAGAGTCATCAACGATGCTGGCATAAACCCTCCCTCCAAGCTCCCTCTTCATTGGCTCCTACAAGGATCCATTTCCACTGGGGGAACTTCCTCGTTGGAAGACAACCGTTTGAAGACCCTGGAGCATGCCAAAATATTGCTGTCGAAACTCCAACGCCACGGGTCAGCCTGACCATTGCGTCTTGACGACCCTGACTCGCGCAAGTATGTCATCCGCGGGACTTCGACACCGCAAACCAACATAACTGTTGCACCTCATGATCCTGAATTCTTCCGCAACATAATTTCTAGTACGCTGATCACGGGAATCCGTGAAAGTCTTACAAACGTTAAAGAGCACTGCGCGCGGCGCTAAAGCGAGAACCACCTTTTGAAAAGGAGCCGCCCTCAATCCGTGAAACTGCTGCAAAGTGTTAAAACGACAGCACGCGGCGCTACGGCGAAAACCACATATTGGAACAAAACCGCCCTCAATTCGTGAAGCCCTTGCAATCGTTTAGAACACATGTGCGCCGCGCTAAGGCGAGAACCACATTTTGAAAACCACCCACCTTCAATCCGTGAAGCCGTTGCACATGTTTAAAACGAATGTGCGGTGCTAAGGAGAGGACCACATTTTGAATACGGCCCGCCCTCCATCTGTGAAACTATTGCCAAGTCTTCAACTTCAGGGTCACCAATGATGAAGAAGTCTCAGGCGAAACGCCCGGCCCGCCCCAAAACTTGGTTCGGGGCGCGACAGGGCGAAACTATGTATCGGGGAAGGCAATGGAGGAGGAGGAGGAGGAGGAGGAGGAGGAGGAGGAGGAGAAGGACCAGCGTAAACCCAAGAGTCACCAGCGATGTTGGAATAAACCCTCCCTCCGACCTCCCTCTTCATTGGGTCCTACGAATATTCATTTCCACTGAATGAACTGCCTCGTTGGAAGACAACCGTTTGAGGACCCTGAGGCCTGCCAAAACATTATTCTCGGAAGTCAAACGCCACAGATCAGCCTGACTGTTGCGTCTCGACGATCCAGAATCGCGCAAGAACGCCATTCGTGGGACTTCAGCACCGCGAAGCATCACCCTCATGATCCTGAATCTCTTCAACACGCAACTTCTAGTACGTTGACCATGGGACCCCCGTGAACTTTGTTCAATGTTTAACAAGGGCTGTGCGCGGTGCTAAGGCGAGAACCACACTTTGAAAAGAAACCGCCCTCAACTCGTGAAGCCCTTGCCATTGTTACAACGAATGTGCGCGGCGCCAAGGCGAGAGACACATTTTGAGAACGACCCGCCCTCCATCTGTGAAGCTGTTGCCAATTTTTCAACTTCAGAGTCATAAGTGGTGAAGACGTATCAAGCGAAATGCCCGGCCCGCCCTTTCGACCGGCCTCGGGGTGCGACAGGGAGAAGTTATTTAGAAGGGCAAGGACTGGAGGAGGAGGAGGAGAAAGAGGAGGAGCAGGAGCAGGAGGACCAGGAGGACCAGGAGGAGGAGGAGAGGGATGATGATGATGATGATGATGATGATGATGATGATGATGATGATGATGATGATGATGATGATGATGACGCTGATGATGATGAATGATGATATGATGATATGATGATGATGATGATGATGATGATGATGAGATGATGCTGATGGTGGCTTGGGATGAGGAGGAGGACGAGAGAGGAGGAGGAGGCGGAGGAGGAGGAGGAGGAGGAGGAGGAGGAGGAGAGAGGAGGAGAGAGGAGGGAAGAGGGAGATAAGAGAGAGAATCGGGAGGAGGCTGAAGAGGAGGAGGAGGAGGACGAGGACGAGGAGGAGAGGAGGAGGAGGAGAAGGAGGGGGAGGAGGAGGAGGAGGAGGAGGAGGAGGAGGAGGAGGAGGAGGAGGAGGAGGAGGAGGAGGAGGAGGAGAGGGAGTAGGAGTAGTAGGAGGAGGTTGACGCCATAATGTTTGGTTGTCAAGTGAGCACTGTACTCACTCAGTGTGAAAATAGCGAGAAGCAGGTGGAGGCAGGAGGAAGATCACGAAATCTTAGAATCAAGGATCTTTACGTTATTCGTCACGCCAGGGTTTCTGTGCGCCCTCGTCGCTGGCCAGCAGGGACGGCTTTGCTCGTAGGAGGGTCCTGGAAGAATCGTAGGATCTGGTATTTCCATGGTGCGCCTTCTCAGCGCGATTTTGGAACCTAACGTGCTTTTGCCTGTACGCCAAACACAGAATTGCCCCCCCCCCCCGCCCCCCTCCGCACGGCGCTGGCTACCCACAAGGCCATGTTCGAACTCTGAAGCCAGCGGCCGGCCTCTGGATCTCCGTACATGACGTGGTCGACATCCCACAACATTGCAGGGCTGCGGCGCGGCATTGAATGAAGCGGAGCGGAACGACTTGCATTTGCAGGAGACAAGGAAACAGAGCGACGCATTGCCCCATGGCCAAATCATCAGAACTCCACTGTATCAGCGGCGACCTGTGAACAACTTTGTATCCTCAATTCACGGGTAGGCCATAACTTTGACAGAGGCATGGGATCTAGCCAAGGACAGATCGGAACAACCCAGTCGACGGAAGGGTGTCTTTCACGGACGCTGCCGGTCGCAGAATCCCCTTCGCCAGAATCTGGACCCCTTCCCCCCTCGAGAATCCGCACCCCCCCTCCAGCAAAACCAGGCCCCCACCCGTCCAGCGAGAACCCCCCTCGCTGAACCCCCCCGCCCCTCGAAAGCCGGGCGCCAGCAAACGACGACGACGCTGACGACAACGGACCTGATGATGATGATAATGATGATGATGCTGGTGATTCTGATTATGATGATGCTTCTGATGATGATGATGATGGCGATGATGATGACGATGATGATGTTGATGATGATGAGGACGATGACGACGACGAACGCGACAACGATCATGATGTCGACGGCGACAATGACGAACACGACGGCGACGACGGCTACGACACTGACGACGCTAATGACGACATTGACGACACTGACGACGATGAACACGATGACGAAAACGACGACGATGCTGACGACGACGACAACAACGCTGACGACGACGATGAACACGACGACCACGATAGCGACGACGAGAAACACGATGACGACGATGACGGCGACGACGGCGGAGACCCTAACGGACGGGTTGGGCGGGGAGACCTGAACGGACGAGTCGGTTGGACGGGGGCCCTACCAAGCGGGCCGGGAAGCAAGACATCAACGCGGGCGGGCGCATTGGTCGTGCCCTGATTGGCGTGCCGGGCGGGCGAGATACTGAAGCGGGCGGGCTTTCAAACATTCGAGCGGGAGATGCCCTCACGGGCAGGTCGGGTGGGCGAGTCCCTGGCGGGCGGCGGGACATTCCAGCGGACGGGCGGGCGCAACATTAAATGTAACTCTCGCTCATATCTTTCGTCATCGTTGTCGTCGCCGCCGTCGTCGTCGTCGTCGTCGTCGTCGTTGTCGTCGTCAGTGTGATTGTCTTCCTCATTGTCGTCGTTAGCGTCGTCGTCGTAGTCATTGTCATCGTCGTCGTCGCTTTCGTGGTCGTCGTGTTCGTCGTCACCGTCGTCGTGCGTCGAGGTCGTCGTCGTGTTCGTCGTCATCATGCCTCGTCGTCGTCTTCGTCGTCGTCGACAGCGTCAGCGCCGTAGCCGTGATAGTCATCGTTGTGTTCTGCGTCGTCGTCGCCGTTTGCCTGCGAGCGGGGTGAGTGCGGGGGATTCTCACTCACCCCCACGACATTCGGATGGTGGTGGTGGGGGGTGGATTCGACCCCCCACTTTGGGGGGAAGGTTGGACAGTTCTACGGACAATTCCGCGTGTTGGCATGGGTACTGGTGAGGACCTCCCCCCTCCCTCCCACAGAAGTCGCTCTTCCCCATCGACATGCGGCATGCGCAGGATATCCCCGCCGCCGAGGAGCATATTGGTGGCACATTGAGCGCACACGTTCACGGACTATGGACCATGCAGTCGCCATCTCACCATGCCTGGGTGTAGATGCCTGGAGCTACAGGTGCAGCTCAACTTGGTGACCACAAGAGGATCTGATGTGACAAACGTGTGTTCAGGCTATGGAGGAGACGTGGTGGTGCGGGGCAAGCTGCCCAGGAGAAAACACCACCGCGCGCACGAGTGCTCCGCTGTTGCTTATGACAAGCGTTCGGATCACCAGCGACTGCCTCGCCATCAAAGCTTCGAAAACTGCGGGGCCTGTTCCTGATCCGACCTGCGTGGCAGGACCTCCCCAACCTCAGACACAGAGTCATCTTACTTGTGCTTTTCCCTGTCCATCACACAAAACAACATTGGCACAATCGTGGGTTTGCCATTGTCTCCCAGAATGCGCTGGGCGATGCGTTGACCAAGATCCCCCTGCGTAGCCCTAGATTACGTCGATGCCCGCGACGAGTGCTCAGCGGCAACGAACGAAGGTCTCACGCGAGAGAGGGCCTGGCGACTGTACGCAGTAGTTCCCAGAAGCTACGGTGGTGGCGCTGGACAAGGAACCATTGGATCAGGAGCCCAGGGCCTGGAAGCCGGTGGATCTCCAATCGTGGCTTGGCCGTGGGAATCACTGCCACCCTCGTCAGATGAGAGATCCCCCAGGATCTGAAGCCTCCTGGGCACAATCCTTGGCCAAACGCCACTATCATCGAATCGACAAGTCGGATCCGCGATCGAAGCGAATCGGATCGCCGGCAATGGGCAGCCGAGTCGGGAAAAGTCGAATTGGCGGAAATCGGCAGGCTGGTAGGCCTCCGGTGAGAAACCGGAGCCCGGATCGGCATCCCCAGGTCGAATCGGGCCGGAATCGGAAGCCGTCGACATCGGGTCGAATCGAATCGGAGGAATCGAAAGGAGCCCTCCTCCCTTCTCCCTCCTCCCTCCTCCTCCTCCCTCCTTCCCTCCTCCCTCCTCCCTCCTCCCTCCTCCCTCCCCTCCCTCCCCCTCCTCCCTCCGCCCCCCCCTCCCTCCTCCCTCCCCCCCTCCCTCGCTCCCCTCCCTCCTCCTCCTCCCTCCTCCCTCTTCTTCCTCCTCCTCCTCCTCCTCCTCTCCCCCTCCTCCCTCCTCCTGCCTCCTCCTCCCTCCTCCTCCTCCTCCCCTCCTCCTCCCCCATCCTTCTCCCTCCTCGCCTCCTCCTCCTACCCCTCCTCCTCGTCCTCATCCTCCTCCTCCGCCTGCCTCCTCCGCCCTCCTGCCCTCCTCCTCCCTCCTCCTCCTCCTCGCTCCTCCTCCTCCTCCTCCTCCTCCGCCCTCCTCCTCCTCCCTCCTCCTCCTCCTCTCCCTCCCTCCTCCACCTCCTCCTCCTCCTCCTCCTCCTCCTCCGCGCCACCACTGTGGCTCCCAGAGGCTGGCTGCGCGGTGGGCTGCACGGGGGGTGCGCGGCCCCCCCGTGCGCACGGCTTCTGGCGTGCGAGCCTCCACGCCGCGAGGCCCCCGCTCGGGATGTGCGCTCCCCGCCCCCTGCGTGCTCTCCCTCCTCTCCTCC